ATATCATATATATATATATATCAGATATATGTATATAATATATATATATGTGTGTTTAATTTATATGCAACTATGTAACATGTATTTAAGAAACAACTTGCCATATGTACCTCTTATGTCCTGTGTTCTTGGCTGCCGCAGTCCTCCACCTCCAAGATTCAAGGCAAGACGCCTTCGACATGGGTGTGTCACCACACTTTCCGAAAATGCCACCCCAGTAGAAGTTGTCGCCCACATTGAGGAGATAGTCCGGGTTGTTCTCCTGAAACCGCCCGCAACTTAAGATTGAATGTGCTGCAGGCAAACCGGCCCAGGCAAAGCAATCACTTGGATACAGGGCAAGGGCTAGGCAGGTTTTGGTGATGGATGCGGTCAGTCTAGGTCCGTCTCGCGAGGGCGCCTCACAACAAGAAAGAATCAATAAAAGGGGCACCCCTGTCAGTGTCCCGAGCTGGACGTGTCAGGTGTCCCAAGCTGGAAATCACCATAGCGCCGGGCTGTTGAAAAAGAACATAGTTAGACTCTGGAAGGCTAAAATGGACCCTGAAAACTGAAAACCACTGGTTGGTAGAGGAAAACAATCTTCCAGGGGGCCATTGTCAGGGTCTATTTTAGTTTTAGGGAGTGCAATTACCAAGTATACTACCTGCCCTGCCCGCAAAACTTGAGGCCAGGGGGAGAGGTCGAAAGCTAGCCGAATCGCACCGGATGTACTAGTTACATAGTCGGCAAAGCATGTAGGGATGACATGTTTTGGGAGGAAGGTTGCTATGTACATACTTTGCGCTAAAGAATGTAAATGTGACATCGCTGACTGGGAAGGGTACATTGGAACAACCCGGGTGCACTCGTTGGCAGGCACGAAGATGCGTGATCGGCAAATCTGGGGGGTAAATTTACCCTCCGCTTTTGTATGCCTTGAGTCGGAAAGAGGGGTAAGCATTTCTGACATCATACGGACTGTACATACACTAGGGCGTCCGTAGTGTAGGAGAAGCACGGGTAAAAGGTATATGGAATAGAGTGTCTTGAGGAAATAGCCGGTGTATGGTTATTGCAAATCTGGGGGGTAAATTTACCCCCCGCTTATGTATGCCTTGCGCTGGAAAGAGGGGTAAGCATTTCTGGCATCACAAGGACTGTGCATACACTAGGGCGTCCGTAGTGTAGGATAAGCACGGGTAAAAGGTAGAAGGAGTAGAGTGTCTTGAGGAAATAGCCGGCTTATGGTTATGGCAAATCTGGGGGGTAAATTTACCCCCCGCTTATGTATGCCTTGAGCCGGAACGAGGGGTAAGCATCACAAGGACTGTGCATACACTACGGCGTCCGTAGTGTAGGATAAGCACTGGTAAAAGGTATCAAGAATAGAGTGTCTTGAGGAAATAGCCGGTGTATGGTTATAGCAAGCCTGGGGGGTAAATTTACCACCCGCTTATGCATGCATTAGGTTAGAAATAGGGGTAAACAACTTGTAACGGTGAAGTACAAGTCCTATGCAGCAAGCAGCAGCCAGCAGCAGCAGCAGCAGCAGCAGCAGCAGCAGCAGCCGCCTGCAGCCAGCAGCCAGCAGCAACCACCAACCAGCAGCCAGCCAGCAGCACCACGCAGCAGCAGCGCAGCATCAAGCCGCAGCAGCAGCAGCACCACCGGCAGCAAGCACCACCGGCAGCAAGCAGCAAGCAGCAGCAGCAAGCAGCAAGCAGCAGTAGCAGCGGCGTCGTCAGCAACAGCAGCAGCAGCACCAAGCCGCAACAAGTAGCAAAGCAGCAGCTACAAAAGCGGCAACCAGCGGCAGCAGCAAACAGCAGCAGCAAGCAGCAGAGCGGCAGCAGCAGCAGCACCCTTTACACCAAGCCACCGTTACACCCAACCAACCACGTTCACACGTTCAACCAACCCCCTACACGGCGCAGCTGGGAGTTGAACCGCGGGGGGGGGGGTGAAAGAGTGACTAGGGCGTACACGGTAGAGGTGCAGACCGCTAGTGTCTTTTATGCGCAGAGTCTTATCCTCTTGCTCTTTGAGCCTTGAGCAGTCAAGCATGGACACACTATATCAGCTGTTGGAGTGGAACCCTGTACAGGTAGGCTCTACTTTTCAGCAGGCACAAGATTCATGTCCACTTCTAGCTGATTGCGTATGTCGCATACTCTTTTTCTACTGCAAGGCTAAAACAGTCCAGCTAGCTCTGACAACTTAAAAGAAAACTACGGTGCCATGTACTTATCTAATCCAGTGTGTTTCACACTTTGGAGAAGATAATCTCATAGCTACTAAATACAGTGAGGGAGCAATAGCTGACTCACCTCAAGTACAAAATCAAAGCGATAATGTACCTCGGCTGGAGACTGTACTTTTCACAGGCGGAGATACCATGTACCGGCGCTCACTAGCTCTTTATGGCCTGAGCTAAATCAAACTAAAAGGGAAAGCGGCTTTTTCTCTACAGAGACCTATAAAAGAATCAAACGACACTCGCGTAACAAGAAACTAAAATTCAAGACCGCACAATGCAATGAATTAAGATGCCTTGCAAAATGCAAGGAGCGTACGGTCCGAGGAATAATCTTCTCGTGACGTGGTCTCGACCGCTTTCATTCACAGACAAAATAAAACTGCATCAAAAAGGACTCTCTTTCACATTCACATCAAAAACGCAAGAAGGAGATACCGGCAAATGTATGTACAAAAAAATCTTGCACTACAATTGCAAATCATGAAATGACTTAATCATCAACCATGAATGGTTGTCCATTAGAGGTCACTTCATAAGAGCGATGATGAGAGATATCATCAGTTATGTAAAACTGTCCATACCTATCTACATGCTAAAGCGTATAAACCTGGAATGCAGGAGTATCTTCTTTGATAAAAAGTTTCTCCTGGTTGCAAACCAGAGTTCATTAAAACTTCAGCCTGGCAACTTAAAGTCAAGCCTGGAAGCAAAGTATCAACTGTAACCAGAAGTATCTTCACTTCCTAGCCATCATTTAAATTTCAGCCTTCGCTCAGGAATTATGCCGCTGCAGACGATGAAGCTGCTTGACCAGAAGTTGGCGGCCTTCCTTTCCTTTTATTCTCTTTTTGTCTCTCCTTCCTCCGCAGTTTCGCCTCATGAAGAGTTGCTCCCATGCGATACTGTCTTCTGTCTCCAGATGAAAAGGAGGCTGGTCTGAGTGAAATAAACATTGGACCATGACTGTCCTCGTCAGAGGGTCTTGAGCACATAACCTCCGTGTCAATCATAGCAAAGTTCTCTGAAAAATTACAGATGAACTCCTTCGTGCTCACTGTGGAATTTTCATATTCCTCTTCACTCATTGAATGACCCCATTCAACAATGGTAGACAAACATGTATCTCCAAGCTGTGATCCTTGGTATTCTTCTTTTTCAACCGTAGAATATTCTTCCCAGAGTTTGTCAAAGTAAACCTCACACTTCTTGAGGACCTGTGAAGTTGAACTGTAAAATGTTCTGGGAATAGGTGCTTTGATACCAGGATCTGCTTTTACACGAGCTTCTGAAAATCTGCGGATCCAATGCTGCATGGTGCTGTAATAGTAGTTAGCCATTGGCTGCCTTTTGTACCCAGACATTCTGTAGGCCAAACTATTTGCATCACCAGAAATGATGTCCACCTCATAGACAAAACACTCGTAAAGCATCAATGCTGTCAGTTCTCCTGTCAGTAGGTGGGCATCTACAGCACGGTGTGTATCAACATGATAATTACAGACTCTGATGGTATGCATGTTCGCTCGAGTAAGTGGAACACGCTTGTCCTCAGGACCATAGTCATCAAATTCAAAGTCTGCATCCTTGAAATCTTGACAAGGCCTTGTTTCTCCAAAACAAATCTCGTAGATAGCCCAAGTTACATCACGCTGTTCACAGTGACCAAGGTCTTGGTCATGTCCAGCAATGATCTTGACATATCCACCTGGTGCCAATCTAGCCATCACTGCAAGATTCTCCCAATCATTGAAACAAACTGTCCAATTCTTTTGCTCAATGAATTCCTTGGCAGGAACAAGAAGATGAGCTTCCTGGAGAATCACGACATGTGCACGTAAAAAGAAGAGCATATTGAAGAAAAGGTTGTTCTCAAATTGCTCGTACTGAAGTGACATGGCGCTCTGTTTGCGTGGCCTCATTGCACTATCAAGTCCTTGGAGAAACCTTGGTGTGGTGTACTTCTGACCACGAACCATGTTGCCATAGTTCCAGGATAAAAATGTCAAGGACTCTGAGCTGGCCGATAAGTTGGTTCCATATGGTTCTTCTATTCTTCCTTTGAGGAACCTTCTGCACAGCTCTTCATAGAAGGTGACAAAGTCCCAACTGGGTCCCTTGGGACCATATGATTCCAGTTCCTTCTTGAGTTCCTTCTTCGTCTCCTCCAATTCTTCTCGAGCATGTTCTGCCCTTTCAAGGGCCTTTGGATCGACCTGATAATATCCATCCAAATAAATGATGCGATCATCATTGATGAAGAATCTCTTCAAATCATGCTCTGGTTCATGTTCATAACAATCAGGTGGAGGTACTGGACAGACATTTCGAATGGATCGAACAAAATCATCCTCGTTGATCCTCGACTGATAATGAGGATGGGAAATCTCACCTTTTCTGAAACAAACATGATTCAGCAATCTTGCATGAGTTTCCCTGAAGCATAGTTGATAAAAGCCAATACCTGGATCTCCTGTAAGCTCTCCAAGCAACTTCACAGGTGAAGTATGCAGCTCATAGGTATTGTCAACTTTTGTTGTCTCATTTTCAACAACTACTTCAGATGGAAAAGATTCTTGGATTTCAGCCTCCAATTTCTTCTCTCCATCATCCTCTCTGACCTCTTTTATTTTCTCCACCGCCTCTTTCTTCTCTTCCATGGTTGCATCATCCTGAACTTCTTCATGAAAATGAGTATCAGGTATTTTATTCAGGCGGCTTTTCTTAGATTTCCGCTGACCTGAAGTATCATCAAGGTTAGCATCCATCTCACCTGATGGTAAGTGCGATGCAGTCGAGTCCTCACCTATCTCTCTTGACAGAAAGTGTGGTGTTGACTCTTCCTTGGCTTCCTCCTGGTCCACTTCCATCTTTAGTTCCTCTGAAGGAAAAACACCTGCATCTTCATCAAATATTTCTTCTTCCTTTTCAGGTTCAACTGCAGGATCTTCTTCAGGAACTTCCTCTTCCATATCCTCATCTTCCAGAAGTGTCATACTTCCAGTATAAACTTCACCAGCGATAGT